GAAAGGTCTGGGCAGTTCTGCCCCAGAGACGAGCACTGCAGTCAGCCTTGGCGTGGACGACGCGGCAAGACTGCCTTTGGCGACTGGCTGGTGAGCGTTTCTTATTCGGCGTTTCGACATTGGGCGGCAAGGCGGGGGGGGTCTGGCTCCAGACCTCTGCTGAATGCGACTGTTTGCAAGAATGCGGCCTCTGGGGGAGATTCCACCCGGTCGAAACAGGCGCCAGAAAACGGCCAAGATCTACTCCGTGGGGTGGGGGGTGGAGGGGGGGGGGTGCGAGGGCCCGCGCCGATCGGCACAACGAGGAATAAAAAAACGATCACCTGGCCGCGGCGTCAAGCTTCAGAAGCGCGTCCAATCCTTCAAGAAGCGAGTTTTGAGGCTGAAGCACATCGGTTCTGTGTTGGGCCGGCGTCACTCCAAGGAGGCCTCCGCGACTGGGCTCCCTTGGCTGGGGCCACGTACGCCTCCGAGGTCCACGGGGTCTCCGAGCGTGAGCTCGCGAGGCTTCGACGAAGTCTCGGACGTGTCTTGAAACCCTCTTCGGGGATGAGAAGCCTTACCCCCCCTCCTCATACTTGAAGGAGACCCTGGCTGGCATGCCGCAGTTCTGCCTGTCATGCGCTACGCCAGGGAAGCGTGAGCTAACCAAGTTCGCGCATTCAAGCACCCGTTGTTATGTTGCTGCTCCTCGTTCGTCTTGGAAGCGATCTTTACCCCTGGGCTGTCTGATGGCGATCGTCGTGCTAACTTATCCTGGAAGACGGTTCGAGTTCCCATCGGGGCCATGCGGTCATCCCTGGAACGAATTGGTTGGAGTTTGCGGTCGTTTACTGTGTACGATTTTGGTGAAGTCCTGGGCCTTACTACTTACTCCCTTTTCGCTCGTCAAGAAAGCTCGAAGGGATGGAGTGCTACAGCAGCTCCAGCGTAAATCAGGTCAATCATTTGGGTTGAAAGATAGATTGTGCAACGATGTTGTTGAGGCTGCCCTGCGCTCCTGCAAGTTCACGACTGTCGAGAAGGGCTGCATCCGTGGTATGTGCTGTGGAGCTGCATGGTCGTGCGATCGTGCTATTGCCTGTAGGCGCCAGCTGTCCTCGGACGTGTGTCCGTTGCACAAGGCTGCTCCCGACTCTATCATGCATCGGATGTGGTGATGTCCCTGCGCGCAAGAGTTCCGAGACGAACTTGCTGCTAGTGGCATCCAGGAGGCAGCCCGCGCCATCGACCCCTCATGCCAAGCCAGTCTAGCTCTTTTCGCCAAGGGCATGTTCCCCCATCCTGGAGATATGTGGCCACGGCCCCGTGCTGCAGATGGTATGGCTGTTCCCTGGGAAGGTGACCCTGATCGACAAGACACGTGCATCTCAGGTGACGTGTTCATGGACGGTAGTTGCCGCAAGCATATCATTAGAGAATTGTCCCTAGCAAGTTGTGGGTTTACAGCCCTTTCCGAGACTGGTGAGTTGCTAGTTTCCATATATGGGCCTACGTGGCCCCCACCTCCCCCAAACCAGCCAAGCGAGGGAGTCTGGGGTTTTCGAGGTTGCCTCCCAGTGCCTAGAGGGCCCTGGAAGAGGACACTCTGACTGCTCCAACGTTGTCCGTGCTTTCGGATAGCCCAGGGCCCTGAAACTTTCGTACCGTCGTCCGCACTCTGGCATGATGGTGGCATCTCTTTCTGCGCCGTGGGAGCCGATCGTCAAGGTAAAAGCTCACGTTCGGGACTCTGACGATCTCACCCCACTGCAGTTGTTTTAACAAGCGCGGCGACGATGCCGCCGACGCTGCAGCGAAGGCTGGCTTGGCCCAGCACCCTGACGCGTCTCCGCAGATGCATGATGATTTGTCCTTTCAGATTTGAGTGGCCAAGGCTGCTCCGAGTCTCGGAGCGAAGATCATGCCGATGTGGCTTCATCTCGACCTCAGCGGTGTCGCGCTGGCCAAGGCTCCCAGATAGGTGCAGTCGGCCGCGGCTGCTACTTTTATTAATGCATGGGAGTGGTGCCGCACGTATTGGAGATGCAGAGTGTGCCTTCGGATGCGAAGGCAGGCGGAGTTTGTTTTCGGAGCTTCGCCCATGCCCGACCAGGAAGGATGTTCTGGAGTTGTGCCCCCCAGCCTCTTGGGTGCGGGCGTTCTCAGACATAGGCTGATCTCGTTTCAGTGTTCGGACGATTCCCCTTTGTTCGTTTGTGTGAGCTGCAAGGCGGTTTCGACCCTGGGACCCCTGGCGCTCCTGGGCACGCAGTGCGCCCACCCTACCAGGGACAATACTGAGCGGTGGAAGTACAGGACATGCAAAGGCAAGCATCCCAGGCTGAGCCACCAAACCGTTTTCCGAGTCTGCCCCTGTCGAGTTTGACGCTATGCTGCGTGCTATGTGTACCCATGTTCTCCGAGGGTGCAAGCACAAGCTTCACCAGCAATACGGTCACACGAAGAGTTCAAACATGTATGGTCTTATATCGCTGGCTTTGAAACAACTTGCTGAATTGGATTGGGTCCCCGTGCTGACTGACAAGGACGGGGGTTCGGCGCTCGTCCGAAAAGGCGTGCTGGAGCAGATCCATTCTTCAGCACTCGCGGGTCCGCAGTATGAAGAGATTTCTCCATTGAACATCCGCTGGTGGCAGCTGTGTGATCACTACTCTAGCTTGGTCAAGAGAACTCACGAGATCGAGCCGGACACAGACGCGCGCTCCCTGCTGCAGAGCTTGACGGGTGGAGTCCCCAGGTTTGCGACGTCAGTAGGGGAGACGATCCAAACCCACAAAAATCCAGGTGACGTCTCTTTCCGTATTCTGCATACCAGGAAGGACCATTCGTTTAAGGGTCTTGGGGCTTGGGTAGCTCGCCGGTTTCGTGAATCACTTGCAGTCAAACCACACCTTCTCTCAAGCACAGAAGATCTCATCAATATATTGAATAGCATGTCTTTCCCCAGTGACGCATTGTTCATACGATACGACGTCCGAGACTTCTTCATGTCTGGAGGTATCAACGAACTCGTGCGTGGTGCTGTCGCTGTTGCACCCCAGGCTCTTGGGGAGATCATGGGCGATGCGGCAGAGTTCCTCTTGAGCAACCAGTACGTCCAGTCCAGGTTCTACGATGACAGAATTTGGGAGGTGAAGGTCGGTTCTGGGATGGGGATGAACTTCTCTGGGGATTTGTCGGACGCGGGATTCTACCACAGCTTGGAGCATTCTAGAGTGAATGATCGGGTCTGGATGTCCAGCAGGGGGCTCTTGTTGTACGTAAGGTTCAAGGATGACATCCTGATCATCACTGAGGCGAGCCTCGCGCCTTTCTGGCATGTGCACGAATTGGCTTGTGACAAGCAATCGTAGCAGCTTCAAGTGTAAGTTAGAGGAAACCGCCGTGCATGGAATAGACGTGTTAGACATACAAATGTTCAAGGATCATGATTTTGCCTCTACCGGAAAACTAGCATACAAACCAATATGAAAAAAGACCAGCTTGGGCATTCCATTGTCTATTTTTTCGGAGCACCCCCGAGGCATCCACGCTTCCTGGCCGTTTGCAGAGCTGGGGCGTCTCCACCGTCATTCTTCCACCCTCCAGCTAAGCTTGGAGGCCAGAGGAGTGTTAATCGAGCGTCTCAGCCAGTATGGATTTCCGAAGTCCTTCATCCAATTTCTGCATGCCTGGTCCCCTAAACGTGCTAGACCCACCGCCTGTCCTGCCCCCACTACCAAAATGTGGGTGCGAGTCCCATACCACAGAGTTTGGGCGTCGGCTGGTCTAGCGAAATTGTTTAATGAGTTTCTATCCCTGGACATCCCTAGGAGCATTTGTGTGCAGTATCTAGGGTCTCCTCTAGATACAAGGCCTGCATGGGTTCTGCGGCAGGCACCTTTTGCTCAGTTGGTCCAGAGATTCTCGCACAGTCACGTGACACTGTGCTAATTTGTTGGAGGTTGGTTGGGTGTGGACGGTGGTCCTTGCTTACTTACTCTTTTCACGACATGCCTGTAGCAGCATTTGGCTCGGGGTTCTCACCGCGCCCCAGGCCCACGCGCAGCCACAGCGGACTGCGTCGTGCCCATTTGAGTAGTTCTCAGGTGGCGAGCCGAAAAGCGTGTTAACAAATCGTGCGTTTTGACGTCGCTGTCATCACATCGCCGGTCAGGTGCAGCTGGCTGTTCCTCCTCCCAGGCTACAGGTCGGTCCAGTGCGGCGTGCCCAGGGCCTGCGCCCGAGGAGAGGGGGGGAGTCCACGACTCCAGTGTTTTTGGCGCTGGGGAGGAGGCTTCGAGTTTCCTCTTTGGCTCTTCTCCTGGTCCCCTCTGGTCAAAGATGCTGCTCGTGTAAGGTCAGCGGGGTCTAGTGACTCCGACTGAGCCTTTGGGTCCTTGGGGTGTCCGTCCGTCGTTTTCGTGTCGGTCAGGGCTTGGTCATTCAGCGGTGCCAGACAACCTGGCATTGAATTCAACCCTGGCGAGCACTCTCCAGGGAACGGTTCATGTTTAAAAAAAACCTCCTCCTCCTCCTCCTCCTCCTCCTCCTCCTCCTCCTCCTCCTCCTCCTCCCCTCCCTCCTCCTCCGCCTCTCCTCCTCCTCCTCCTCCTCTCTCCTCCTCCTCCTCCTCCTTCCTCCTCCTCCTCCTCCTCCTCCTCACCCTCCTCCTCCTCCTCCTCCTCCCCCTCCCCCCTTCCTCCTCCTCCTCCTCTCATCCTCCTCCTCCTCCTCCTCCTCCTCCTTCCTCCTCCTCTCCTCCTCCTCTCCTCCCTCCTCCTCCTCCTCCTCTCTCCTCCTCCTCCTCCTCTCCTCCCTCCTCCCCTCCTCCTCCTCCTCCTCCTCCTCCTCCTCCCCTTACCTCTGCCCTCCGCAGCCAAGCAAGAGGCAAGAGGTGGAGGAGGAGGAGGAGGAGGAGGAGGAGGAGGTGGGGGAAAAGTGGAGAGGAGGGGGACGGCGAGACCAACGCAGGCGCGCCCCGCCGATTGCAGCTCCACGGGTACCGGCGGAGGGACCGTGAGCTCCAGCCCATGGTGCGCGTCCAGCTGCTCCTCGGCTCGCTCGGGAGCGGTGGTGAGAGGGGAATTGGACGGATATGCCAAACAGGGGAACGGGAGTCGGAGGGGGAAACAGTGAAGGGCAGTGACGGGCAGGGCGAGCAGCAGCGCCAGGAACTCACTCAGCGCGGAGATCCGAATGTTTGCACATCCTGTCCTGGCATTTCCCCGTGTGAGCGTGCGGGTGAGCGTCTAGAGCCTGTGGCAACTGCGCCCTCCCTGGCCCAGCGCACGAGTCGGCCACGAGGCGGCGACGGGCCATCATCGGGCAAAATCTCAAAAGCGCCAGCTGATCACTCGACAGCACAGGCAACAGCACATGGGAGCAGGACGGCGTGGGTCGCCACGGGCAGAGTCGAGCCAAGGCCGCGGCACGACGACACCGACTCGGGACCGAGGCCCGGGCGCGTGCACGCAGAAATGGGCCAATGACAAGCCTGGCCGGGGTCGTTCCGGTGCCTCTGTGAACGAGGCCTGAACCAACCTGTGGTGTTGGGCTCTCGTTTTGAAGAGACAGCGTCCGCGTTCCTCCTCCTCCTCCTCCTCCTCCTCCTCCTCCTCCTCCTCCTCCTCCTCCTCCTCCTCCTCCTCCTCCTCCTCCTCCCCCTCCTCCCTCCTCCTCTCCCTGCCTCTGCTCTCCGCATGTCATCCATTTCGGCACACCCCTCGCATGCTTCGTGGCCCCAAAGGGAGCTCCACCGAAGGCCCCTGTGGCAGCGCCCGCATGCGGTTCCACCAGTCGAAAACAAGCTGGTAAGCTTAGGTATGTGTTACGCTTTAAGCGTTGCCATATCCCAGGCTTTGGCTCATATCGCATGAGCAAGAGAGCGAGACGAAGCATGGGATCTGGAGTAAAGGATAGGATGGGCATCGTCAATGGAAAAGGTATTTTCCGATCTCTGATGCAAGTCGTGCGCCTCAGTGAGGCACAGTCATATATCTTGGCCGGGCCCGGCTTGAGCCAGGCACGGCAGCGGTACATGCTCGATTTATACCTCGCCTTTAACCTTCTCCGTTTAAAGTCGGAGGGGGAGGAGACGAGCAGGTACCGCACTTCTACACTATGCGGAAAAACAGTGCTAAGCAGCAGCGGCTGCCTACAAGGAAGGGGCGCGCGAGTAGCCTCGCTACCGGCGAGTTTCCTCGTTACTAAAACTCACCTGCCCGCGGGTTTCCCCGCTGGCTCGGGAGGCAGGGCCGTCCTCAGACGACCTGCCCGCCCTATACGGTGTATGTTTCTTCAGCTCGTGCTTGAAGGATTGCTGGCCGGCCATTACTTGTAGGAGCAACGCGCGGTCAATACTACCTTTGGTATGACCATCGGCAGTCATATCCCGCGTGTCACACCATTGGACGCTTTCCACGATTCCGCGTTCCATCATCTGGCGGATCCAGCTGATGTGCCCAAGCAGAGTACATTCTGTGGGCTTCTTCAGATCTTTGCTAGACAAAGACTTGAAGACAGACTCGGCATCAATAGTCAGAGTGACTTTGATACATAGACCACCCATTTCCAATATGTTCTTTAACTGTGTGGGGGTCAATGGTCCCGAGTGTAGCTCGTGGAGCGTTACAATGGTCGGGTAGCAGTCTTCCAAGTTGTGGGCTGCTGCCAGTGTTTCCGCAGAGTAGCTCGAACGCACCTGCAGTCGATGAGACTTGCAGTATGCGTCCACCAGGTGCACGACGGGTTTCCCCGCTTGCGTGTGGCCACGCCTCAGCAGGTTGGCCCCGCGGATACCATAGCCTTTGACTTCGTCGTCTTCATCTCCGTTGAGACGACGATAGCCAGAATCGCTATGCAGGTCAACTTCTCCTGTTGGAGTCATAGCTTGATATACGATCTTCTTCGGACCTGCCTGTAGTTTCCTGGTAACCGCGTTTAGTCGTCGTACCTGGATGTTTGTCGGTTCCTGGATACGTTGTAGTGAGACAACATAGACCATCAGCCATACTTGCGTGATCAACGCATAGGCTAGAGCGCCACGAAGACTGACGAACATGTCAGAAATCGTCTTCGTCGCTTTGCTCTCAGGATCAGCTCCTGTGAGCTCTGGATGTGTGATAGGACGAAGCTGTTTGATGTATTCGTCCTGATCAAGAGTGACGCTCCCATCATCGGTCTTGTTGTACCGAACGGCACAGTTTGTGTATGTGTGCTTGTTCAGTTTGCACTTCCCAAACGTATCTTCAACACACTTGACATACTTGTCAATAGCCTCTTCCTTCCCAGTCATATTGATGTCATCAACGTGCTTGGCTGTCAAGAGGTTTGGGCTCATCTCGAACTCTTCGTCGTATGAAGTAGGCTGTAGCCCAAAGCTCCTAGTGATGGACCTGAGCTTCAGCGAGAATGCCCTGGGAGCATCCTTCGTGCCCGTCCCCGGCTTTAGACACCGAAGGCAATGCTTTGATTCGTCATATGACTCAAAGCCTGGCAGTGTACGAAGGACAGCTGCTGACCCAGGTGGTAGTGTGAAGCACACCACACGCTCTTTCTCGCCCGTTGCCGCGGCGAGCTCGCCATAGGTCAGTCCCTTCAAGAAAGCCATGTTGATGTCCAGGGAAGCGATGATCCAAGCTTTGTTGCACGCAGCAGAACTTGCGAGCAGTCTCTGGCTTGACCTCCTTGCCGTGCCAGAGAAGGTTTCGACATCAAAGGCTTCAAGGTCCATGAAGCCACGGAGTACCAAGCGTAACCTGATCGTCCTTTCCATTTCGCCCTTTTCGTTCTTGACAAACTTCCATTTGTATACGTAGCGTGACGTCATGATGTTAGACGCCTTGCTTAAGTCAGTCATCTGGAAGCATTTGTTGTCAAGCCAAGTCTTCAATTCTGTGTAGAGGGCTTTGGAAACTTTGACCGGATTTGCTTGGATGTCGGCCTTCGTGAGTAGATCGTCTTCCTTGACGACCACGGCACGTTTGGAGGCAGCACTAACGTATACTCGCATAGTTGTGACGCTGCTGTCATCCAACAATCGGTGTTGCTGCTCGGACAGGACGACTTTGGACATGTCTGCAGTGAAGCAGAGCTCGATGTACTTCCCGTGCTCATCGGAGTCCAGATCATATTTGCTATCCGGATCCGTGGAGCATAAAGGAACGTAGTAAGAAGTGTCCATGTCGTATCCTGGCGGGTGACCCCGCTCCGGCAAGTGGCCTTGCACATCTTCACAGGTCGTAGAGACTAACACACACTGTGTGTCTGTCATGTATGTGGGAACTGTATGCATGACTTCCTCTGTGTCAGCTTCAAGGAGTGTTCTGTCATCCATCAGTTCAGCATACCACGACTTCAAGACAAAAGCATCAAGATCTTCTTCTGTTTCCTCTATGATGGTCGGGAGCCGACCATCGTTATCCGTAGGAGGCTCCTCAGGAGCAGCTGCTGGAGGTGATTCGCTTGGTGGTGGACCATCAGCGAGTTCCTCAAACTTAGTGAGGTCTTGGTCAAATCCAGCAGACGGCTTCCTGGATTTAAGACACTGGATGATGCGTGAGTGTGTAGATCCTGTGATGTCATAGATGTTCAAGGCTGTGCCATCAGCTTCATAGTAATGAAAACCAGGGGTCACATCATTATCATAGTGCACTAGTGTACAGCTGTCTGCATAGGGTGCAGCAGGCAACTTCGTCAGGCTCTTGGCAAGTCGTACAGCAACAACGTTTTCAATACGAAAGTTGTTGCGTATGAGGTACTGAAGAGCCAAGTGCACCTTAGGCGAAAGTCGGCTCGCAGCAGTCATCTGCAGCCGACCCTGTTTCGCTGGTAGATATCCGAAAGTCATGGCGGGTTTCCCCGCTGGCAGACCGGCAATAAAGGCCAATACTGTCCGAAAAGCCGTATTGTCCGATCCTATCTCGCGGACCATAAGTGCTTCGATGTACAGTGTGTGTCGTGTGTCAGGATACTGTACTCGCACTTCGCGACTGCCGACCTTCACGATGACCTGGCCTCGGTCAGGTTCGTTGCGGATGACCGGGTATGGACCACTCCATCCACCCAGTCGTCTTTCGTGGTGGTCGGGCGATGATAGTCCACGAGATCTCCCTCTTTGTAGTGAAATTCACCCGTAGCAGTAGTCTTCGTACGGAGAGCCCTGTTCGTCTTGGCAACCGCAGTGGCCTTCGTGATTGCCTCCAGACTAACCCTCCTGATTGTTTCCTCCCTTGAGTGATCTGATGATTCAGCGGACTGATCATGATCCAAGACAGGGAAATCAGGAAGCATAGCTGGTTGTCTGCCATACAGCGCATTGTACGGAGACACTTCATTGTATAAGGTAAATGCGTTGCTGGCAAACAAGGCTTCATGTAAGAGACGAGTGAAATTGAGAGGAATATTTAATCTATTCAATTCTTCTCCCATCACGTGTAAGAGGTGTCGCAGGATGCCGTTCCTAGCTTCGATAGTTGTGGCGTGTTGGCCACGCGCTCGGATACGAAGCTCTGTTCCCTTTGCCTTAAGGATGGCCTTTGCTGTATCATTATTCAGTGCTCCTTCCCCATCGGAGTATAAGATTTTAGCAGGGCCATGTTGCATCCAAGTCGTATGATAGGCATCGAGAACAGTATGCATGGCTTTATCAGGAATCTCTGTGCCAGCTGCCCAGCGAATACAACGGTCGATGATGTGAAAAACAATATGTTCCTGTTTGTAAAAGAAAAGATCACATTCGACTTCCTCGTTGAAACGTCCTGGCAGTGACACAGAAGGCATCACCGTGTTGCCTGGTTTGTCCCAGGCTCGACATTCTCTACACGAGTCACAAATGCCTTTGATCAGACTCAAACGGGTTTCACCCAGACCAACCTTGGTTAGAATCATCCGCATTTTTGGCTCCTTGGCATGAAACCATCTCAGGTGGAGTTTGCGGAGTTCTCGCTGCACTACAGCTGGGTCGAAGCTGCGCAGGTTTGGGAGGCTGAGCTGAACGTCGAAGCGAGTCCAATCAGGGAGCCTTGGCCTTGGCCTCGGCTCTGCTTGAGGC